CTCACTCACACACACACTCTCACAGCTCCTCCCTCGTGTCTTTTGGACTTAAATAAACTTTCATGGAAACTGAGAGTGAGACCAGTTCTGCTACCCAGAACAGTCAATGACCTTTTCCTAAGATAGACGGATAGAAGGATAGATAGATTCCCCATTTTCTTATTATGGTGCATCATTGTAAAAAGTTAGCTTAAAATTAGATTAACCAAAACAAAGCGTCCTTTCAGTCCGAACTACAGCAGCTACAAACTGTGAGGCTGCTCCTGTTTCATCTTTTCTAGGGACTCTAACCATGTAAACTGTAATAGGGATGTTAAAATTCATTATTTTGCTGTCACAGTTGGGGGAGTTGATGAATCAATTTAAAAACAATGCATCATGGGTTTTTTTTAAATGATTATTGGTATTTATTGATCTGCAAAGCTTCTCAGGCAGAGTGAGATTTTCTCTCCTGTCGGGCGATTTTTCCGCCTGAACCAAAGCTGCTCTGTCCTCGTTGGTGTTTGTTTTTTAAAACAGAGGCCCGGTTCGAGTTTGCACATCATGAAACAATTCGAATGTGTTACGCAGATTGTGACTTTACAGTGTTTAACTGAAGGCATTTTTTGTAACATTAGTGTCACTGGACGGACTTGAAAATGAGACGTGCATGAAATCAGAGGTTTGGTTTGTGCAATTAAAGATTGGACTGTAATTTCAGGTAGACAAAGAGTTTGGATTATCATTATTGATCACGGTGTCTGCAAAATTAACTCTCGGTAATAATCATTTAATAATGAAAAGCCTTTTAATTAACTATTTCATTTCCTTTCAGGATAACTTCTGATGCACACTGAGCATCTCACTGCAGCAATATAAAGTTTTAATGTTCTTTATTTTGTGATTTTTCTTTTCTCATTTATTTTGTCGGGACAACGCAAGTTCGTTGAATTTTTGTAGAAGTGCCAGTTGTAGCCTGTGAGCTTGTTTTTTCAGCTGTAGTCCCTGTATATGTTGGTAAGGGGATAGTGAGGTTATATTGTAATAATATGGCTTTTTTTTTTTTTTAAGCATACTCTGTTCTTCTTTAGACAAATTTAAAACACTGTCGCAGTATTTAGTCTGGAGAAAAAGCCCAAAAGAGCCCTGCGGGGGTTGGTGCACTCTCCCACAGACAAACTAGTATGAATAATTGTCTGTTCTTTGGTTTATAGAGAAAACTAACTCTTACTGATGAGATAAGTCTGTAGGATGTTGGGAACCCAAAGCTGCTGTTTTTCTCCAGCGGGGAGTGAAATTACCACCAGTTTGGTCGGTAGCGAAATATGAAGTCCTGAGATATATACAGTAAAGCTGTTTTACACGGATTGACCAGAAATTGTTGTAATATGGTGAATTTCAACAACCCTCTAACGATCATTTCCTTTTTTAAATGTCTGCTGCTGTAGTTGTGTGTTGTACACTTTGATGCTGTAAAAACACCACAAACAGCAGCCACAAACCCACTGAGACGACATCGGCATCAATTTAAAACTATACATTTCATAAAGGTGGTAATAATCTACCAGAATGTTTTCAGTCTGTTTTTAACTATTATAAAAACCTCAAAACTTAATCACAAACATTTTCTAATTAACATTGAATTAAACCGCAGTGCAACGTGAAACTCTGGAGCCTCTTTTTTGTTTTTGTCTTTTGGGAGCTGATTATCTGGTTTCGTCCCATATGGTTCAACATTCCTGCAGAGTGGAGCATTTAACAGCTAAAGCACCAGATATTTAGAACCAGCTGGTGAAAGTTTATCAGAAGAGTGGCCAGAAAAACTTTTAGATATTTATTATTTCACTATAATCTTCCTAGTTTCTACCGCTGTTGTATGAAGATGATGCTGCTTCATGAGTACCTGTCCAGATAAATTACTGAGCATCCTAAGCATCGCAGACGGTCAAAGAGATGCCCACACATGACTTCAATTAGAGAACGTTTTTCAAGCTGCTTTGTTCTTGCATTTTTATCTACAACAGGTGGATCCTTGATAACGTAAAAAGCCGATTGTCACACTGTAGCCTCGTGTGGATTTAAAAAAATATCAAATAGGGAAATCTAACCCCCTTAAATCAGCACAAATGCTTTTAGAAACAGACGATTTCTAATCAAAATTAGCTGATAATTAACATATTTTAATACAAATAGCCTTTTGATGGCTAAAATAAAATCCACACTTCGAATATCAGATTCGTGCAATACATTCATGTGAAATGTGACATATTGTGCATCAACTGCTGAGAAACATGATCACATGTTCAACATCAGTGTGACGTCGACATCCACACACAACTAAAAGTATTCAACAAATAATAACACAATGTTTTTTTTTTGTTTTTTTTATAGTTTAGGAATGAAATATTCACATGTAACCTGCATTTCAGAGTTTACTCATTTCCCCAAATTTCTGTGATTATAGACAGAACTTTGGACGGTAACAGAAGGTGAAGCTGATGACTGTAACCAACACGTGGATGCATGTTTTTGCCAGATTTAATTGGGAGAAAGGTCACATTTTAACCTCCTGTGGTTAATCACACTGTCCACTGCTGCAGCTAATGTTTTTAATGTCTTTCCTCATGTTGCCAAAAGCAGAGTATATAACCTTTCTGATGCACCACAGGATGGAGGCCTTGTTTGCAGGTGGATAGGATATAAAAAAAATAAAAATAAACCAGAAACTACTACTACGTGTCGGACACGTGTTGTAGTTTCTGAATCTCCTCATGATTTAGTCTTTCAGTGTCCTGCTGGCTGTTTGTTTCTGTACAGTGAGCGAACTGGGACAAACGGTTGGTTTGTTGGTCCTCTCCTCTAAAAGCTTTGAACTGGGATGTAAATGTACATGAATGGAGGAGGGCGGGAGGGAGGGAGAGGTAACTTTGTAAAACTTGTATAATTATTATTTTTGTGCGTCTTTAATGGATCTTGAGACAGAATTTTTACTTAACCGATGTTTATAGATTTTTATTTATGGTGTCAAGGTACAAAAATATTGTACAGAGGTGCAGCTATGCACAGTCTTGTCTGCTTATGTTTAGTAAATGCTATTTTTAAATGTTGGGGAAAAAATAAATGCATTATGGATTACTGAAAATATTGAATGTCTTATTTTATTCATGTAAACACCAGGTTATACATACATTATTATGTATATAGCTTTTTTCATTCAGCTTTTAATGCAGAAAACATGGATATTTGTCTGTTTTTAGTCACTTCTAAGACTTTTACGTTGCACTAGTGTCCTATTTTGTGCGTAATTCAAGGGTTCAACATGGTACTTTTAGTCTTCAGGTTCATCACACTTCAAGATCTGACTATAAATGTAACAATCAGCCTGGACGTTAAAGAGGAACATGTGGAGGCAAATGTAGAGTATAACTTTAATTAATTAACAGGTTTGTGTACATACTCAAAGCTGAAGAGCTAAAGGAGGCAAGAACCCCAGCTCTTTCTCCCTGTGAATAATGGATTTATATTCATCAGGTTCTCAGAAACCAGACTACAACTGGATAATGAGATGTTACCTTGTGACTGCTAGATGTGTAAGAAGTTAATTAGCAGCTTGTTTTAGAGTTAATCTGCCCTCTAGTGGCCAAAAAACATTTAATGCAACATCAGTTTCAGCTGCCTTGAGATCAGAGCGGACAAAATGAATGTGAGCACAGCTGCTAAAGATTTCATGAGTACTTGATATTGATTGTTTTACACGTTTACAAGAAATCCTGCGTAAATCATGTATCACCTTCTAATTCTAGTCTTGCATCAACAGAGGTTTCCAGTCAAGTGCATATTTTCTTACTTTTCAGGGAAAGATAGATATCTGAAAAGCTCCGGGGGGACTTTACTGGAGACATACCGGAGAGATGATTTATAGTTAAGATTGCACAGTGGTACGACACGCATTGGCGAGTTCAGCACTGACGTGATCAAAGCCTAAAAAAAATAGTTGATGGCTGAGAGTGTGTTACTGACTGTGTACATGCTGGTTATTTAATGTTTTTCAAGAGAAATACAACCAGACAAACTGAGTAATAATGACAAAGTGGAAAAACTGAATACTAAAGTCCTTTGCTTAAAGGTCCAGTGTGTAACATTTAGGTGGATCTATTGGCATACATTTAATATAATATTAATAGGTATGTTTTCACTAGTGTATAAAAATAAGAATAATTGTGTTTCGTTACCTTAGAATGAGCTGTTTTCATCTACAGAGAGAGTGGGTCCTCTTACGCTGCCATGTTCAACTGCCACGTTTCTACAGTAGCCCAGAAGGGACAAACCAAACTTGAGACAGGGCCAGACACATTTTGTGCAACCACGATAATTTCCCTTTCATGCTTGGGTGGGGAGGGTGAAACAAGGGAGTTGCAATCACACCACAAAAGTCCTCCTTTTAAGTAAATATACCAACACAACCATGTAAAAGTACTCTATTACAACTTACAACCTACTTAAGTTAAAGTACAGAAGTATTCCCAGAAAAATGTACTTAAAGTATCGAAAGTAAAAGTACTTGTTTTGCGGTAAAATGTCCCGAGTGACTGATATATTATTATATGTGACATTATTAACTATTATTAATGAACTAATACTGGATCCTACACAACTGGTCCTTTTCATTTTAAAAGTAATTAGTAACTATAGCTGTCCAATAAATCCCTCTTAAATCTTGTAATGTATAAGTATAAAGTGCTTCAAAGTGGTACTTAGGTAAATGTACTTAGTTACTTTCTACCACTTGAGACTAAAGACTGAAACAGTGAAACATCAGAGACAAAAGGTTTACATTAGGATCTTTAATGTTAAACATACATCAGTAGCATTTAGTCAGTGCTTCATTGTGTTCATATCAGTGTTTCAAAGGTCTGTCCTGATGAAAGAGTAACTTCTAATGAAAACTTCCCACAGATGTGGGGGTGGCTGTGGCTCAGAGGAAGAGCGGGTCGCCCACTAATCGGAAGGTTGTAGGTTCGATTCCCCAGCTCCTCCTGCCACCTGTTGGAGCACCTTGAGTGAAGATACTGCTGTGCCTCGGTGTGTGAATGTGTTTGAATGAGTTAGTTTCTGTTTGATGGGCTTTGCCACCGCTGAGTGAATGTGTGTGAAA